ATGCATATGATGTTTTATGTATTTTATATTCGATATTTGCAATATATGCAATTTTTGCAACCCTGTTCTAAAGAATTGTGTTTCAAAGTTTAAAAGCCTGATTCCAAAAAATATTAGATAAACATTCAAGAACTGGTAACACGGTTGCACATTTTCCCTAAATTCACATGTTCCTCAGAATGGGCTAGCTAGCTTGCAACATATATTTGTTTATAGCTATCAATAACTTTAATTCTAATAATATTCCCCATAAGCTGGAGAAAACAGCTGTTTGTCTGTTTTTTCTTACAATAAATTGGGTAATGGGCTTGAACAAATGCATTCAACATAATAAATTGCGTAAATATTTACTTAATTGGATTTTGTACAAGTAAATGAAAATGTATTATATTATAAATATATGATAAATGCAATTATTTGTACTTTCTGAGTTTTTTGACCCACTTAAGGAGGACTTATACTGTAAGTGCATACTTTATACACACACACACACAATTTCATAATTACTACTGTCTTTGAAATATGGTTAACGTGTACTGACGAATGTACTAAAATAATCTTTAATGTCATTTTTTATTGAAACTTGTCATGTATCTAAATCTATTTGTAATGATAAAGTTGCTATTTAATAAAGTTGATCAACTTTATAACTCACAAATAACTCACTATGGATGAAATTATAATCAAGTAAGTTACACGTGTCAGTACATCAAAATGAGTGCACATTCAGGAATGACCAAATAAATAAATTACTAAATAAAACAAAATGATTTAAAATATAATTGTAAATACCTCTACATTTCTTTACTAGACTTTTATGATTTGAAGTGCACTACAAGTGCACATTCAATACAATTAAGTGCACTGCTTTTTAACAAGGGATACCTTACACCTTCAAGTCCTTACACTTTATACTAAGAATTTCAAAAGGACTTTCACTGCAAAAATCAACAGTTGGCTTTGCTGTTAAAGTATGTACTCTTTTGGTGAAGAAAAAGTACACACTTTAGAGTGTGTAGTAGAAGAGTAGGCAAGCATTGGGACATACTAACACACATCATACAATTGCGTCTTTAACGGACCGCACTGTTGCATAGTCACACACACACTCTGCCTGTGTCCCAATGTGCACACTATCCATGCTAATTCTTCAATGTGATATTAGTCATTTTCAATACTATTTAGGGCAGATAGGGTGGATAGTACACTCTAAAAAATGCTGGGTTAAATACAACCCAGTGCTGGGTAAAATAGGGACAAACCCAGCAATTGGGCTGTTTTGACCCAGCGGTTTGATTAAATGTTTAACCCAACCTTCTGGCTAGTAACCCAACCGCTGGTTCAAAGCAACCCAGTTGCTGGGTTTGTCCCTATTTTACCCAGCACTGGATTGTATTTAACCCAGCATTTTTATAGTGTATGCACATTGGGACCGCAGGGTGTCAATGTAAACTGGCCTGTCTATCATCTTGTCACAGTTAACATCCTCCACATTTCATCTGCATCAACAATGTTAACTTTTATAAACATCCGTTTGGCCATTAACTTTTAAATGCATCAGATAAGATTAAATATATACATACATATATACAAATATATATTGCCAAAATGCAATGGATTGTGGGCAATATTGGCCATTAGAGTGTGCAAAAATCTACCTGAAATAGCAGACCATCCGGGGACTTTTGGCATACTCATTTCAACATACTATGCTTTGGGACACACTTATTCTAATCTCACTTACTATTTAGGATGGATAATATGAACATTGGGAAGCAGGGTCAGTATATATATATATATATATATATATATATATATATATATATCTTATCTATATATCTTCTTCGACATTTTATGGCACTTGGCAAACCAGCTTTTGGTGCATATACCGCCACCTACTGGGTTGGAGTGTGGAGCATTGACGTTGAGGGGAGAAGGGAAGAAAAACAATTTTACAAGTTGTTCCTTAAATGCTGTTTATATATGTAACAAATTTTCCAGTAAAAGCTGCACTCCTATAGTTCTAGGGCCTCTATTAGTTGTTGTCTCCAACTCCAACGGCATCTCACCCATTTCTACCTGCAGTGCTGATACAGGGGATGTTCTAAATGCTTCATAGCATATTCTTAAGGCTTGATTTTGTGCTTAATTGACTTTTTCAAGCAGAGATGCTGAAGCTGATGCGTAAATCAAACTGCCATAATCTACTGCGGACTTTATTAAGTGCACAATAGAGACTGCCGGTCAGCACCCCAATCTACTCCTGCCAAACATTCTTCCCTGTTTTACTTTTGACTATTATCTTTTGGACATGTGATGCAAATGATAATTCAGAATCCATTCAAATACCTAAGAATCTGATTACAGATTCTTGTTCCAGTTCTTGATCATATAACTTTAGTTTGATAGATGGGGTTTTCCTCTTTTTAGAAAAACATATTACTTTATTTTTTTCCACTGATATCCCCAATTATTTGCCCACATTTCTACTTCTTTGATAGCGTTCTACATACATTCCTCTACATGCGACACATTTCTGCCCCTTTTTCCTAAAGCTCCATCAACTGCATATAAGGACTTTCCAAAACCAGGCCCAACTGTGCTAAAATATCATTTATCATTTTGTTAAACAATATAGGGCTGCAGACGCTAACTTGAGGTGTATTTTCAATTTCATATACTTATGAGGATCTGACCCTACTTGAATGGTTTTATCAAATAACAAATATTTTATTCAGTTATAAATTTTCCCATGAATATTCATATTATTCAGTCCTTGCCACATCATGTCATATGCTTTCTCTACATCTTAAAACAATCCTATTAATAATTCTTTATTTATCTGAGCCTTTCTAATTTTTGATTCTAAACTTAAAATTGCATCCATTGTGCATCTTCCTTTTCTAAAGCCACTCTGGTGTGGACATAAAAGACTTTTTGATTCCAGTACATGATTTAATCTAGCCATTACCATTCTTTCCATTCATTTACAAAGGTTTGAGGTTAATGTAATTGGTCTATAAGTTTTTGCTTGTGAGTGATCTTTCCCGGGCTTTACAATTGGAATAACTACACCATGCTTCCAAGCAGAGGGAAGCTTTACTTCCCACACTTTATTAAAAAGATGAAATAAAATATATTTCGATTGATCTGATAGGTGTCTAATCATTTCATTGCATATTTCATCTTTACCAGGAGAAGTGTTTCTCACCCCGACCAGTGCCTGCTTTAATTCGTATATTGAAAAACCTTCATCCAATATACTTTCAGATAAAACTCTTTATTTAAATATTTGGATTCTCTTTTATTTTGTTTTCTCTAAACATCCTCATCTCTTCTGATATATTTACTATGGACCTTGACAAAATGTTCAACTGCTATTTCAGCTTTTTCAACATTTGATATAACTTGTTTTCCTCCATTAATTAGAACAAGAACCTCTCTGCTAAAATGGATTCCTCCCATCATTCTTATCATTCCCCACATTTCATTAATATCTGTCTCTTTTCCAAACATTTGCTTGTGCTCTCTTATAGCCGATAAAATCATCAAATGATTATGATTTCCTTACTTTCTTAAGTGCTCTATTTTTGGAAAACTATATTACATTCCTCTGTCCACCATGGTACAGATTTCTTCCTCCTCTTTCCTTTGCTTTTCCCAATTACAACCATTGCTGTTCTATAAATAACATCACTTATACACTTATTTAATTCATCAACATCTTCTACCGAAATATCTATTCTTAACATTCTTATCTCACTTATCTCTTGAAATTTTTCCCAGTGAGCAGATTTAAGTTTCCATCTAGGATAAACAACAAATCAACACCGCCAGACACAACATTTGTGCTCATTTCAAAATAAATGAAAACTTTTTTTTTAAACTTAAAAAAAAAAAAAAAAGATTCAGTATACAAAAAAATATTTCGTGAACGTTTGTATTTTCTTTTTGTATTTTTTTTATTTTCTGAAATAAAAGTTCTGAAGAGACAAACTAAAAGGACAGTTTAAACAAATAAAAAATGTTTATAATTGATGTGCTACAGAACAAAACTAACGCAAATGTTGATTATTTTTTCATAAGGGGCAAATGATATTAAACCATAGACTGTATTAAAGGCACAATATGTCATTTTTGCCGCTAGAGGGCACGTATTCAAAATAAACAAAGAGACAAAGGCGTAGTTTGATGACGCTGTGACTGAGTGTGGAATCATGGGAGTTGTCGTCTTCATCCCCACAGCCGATGCAATCCGACGGGACTCGGGCAGAAATCATGTTCATGGATGAGCTAATGATTTATTAACGTAGTAGAATGAAGCAGGGTGAGGCTAAAAGCCGTCAAAGCGAAACCAGGCCGCTGAACGAGCGTGACACACGGCTCGAGAGCAGTGGAGCTTTTATTATGCCACAGTCGACCGCTTCCGCTCCTTCCGGTCGTGCGTATGTGGGGGAAAAAAGCAGCACTGTTTTATCATACTAGATACATTTGAAAGTTCTGTTATTATGCTACTCTTTGCGTCGTCACCGGTCTAATAAAACGCACAACATATTAAAGCGTCTTTGGTGTTTTCATGTTTTCTTCAAAACAAAACCGGAAATCGAGGGGTTATGACGTCATTGGCAGGCGACACAATGACACTATGGACACGGTCCGTGTCACTAGTTAAAATTGCTTATTTCTCTGGATTTAAACATTCTTCGAAACATTTGGGATAATGTAAGTACACAAGTCAGCAAAATATATAACACTGTTCTAGTGGTTTTCGGATATTTTAATATAAAAAAATCTTACATATTGTGCCTTTAAACACAAATAAACTGTGCTCATATTTTGATAAGTAGTCGAAGCTGGTGTAATTTTCTCCCCTCCCTTAATCACTATTGGATACGATTCGTGAGTGACCTCCTAACTATCCAATCACAATTGTTTTTGCGCAACTCCCACTAGCCAATCCTGGCACAGAAGGCGGGACTTGTCACAATACTGCCGGGAAAAAAAGATTCCTCCCTCTAAACTTTACTGCTGCAATCTAATCTAACAGTATTCGTCGAGGCAGGCGCCTCATCTGGAGTCGAGCAGTTCGCAGAGATCCGCGTCTCTCACCCCGCTGAGGCCATGAAGAGAAGGCTTCAGAAAAAATACATAATCTTAATTCTAGGATATTCAGTGTTGCTGCTTTTAATTCCCTACGTACTAGATTATCGGAGCAAATCGTCCTACATTAAAGATGGATATCAGCAACAAAAGTGTCCCGATCTGGAGAGCACCATCGCCCTGTGGACTAGCACCAGGACGGGCAACTCAACGGAGGTGGAGGACTATGGCAACAGGAGTCAGTCCAGAACGCACATATACCTCCACGCAACCTGGAGGACAGGCTCTTCCTTTTTAGGGGAATTATTTAATCAGCATCCCGATGTGTTTTATTTATACGAGCCCATGTGGAATATGTGGCAGGCGCTTTATCCGGGAGATGCGGGCAGTTTACAAGGAGCAGTGAGAGACATGATGAACTCCCTGTTTAGATGTGATTTCTCAGTTTTAAAACTCTACGCAGGCTCGTCCAACGTAACCACCTCGTTTATATTCGGCTGGAAAACAAACAAGGTCATTTGCTCCGAGCCTCTCTGCAAAGCGTATAAGAAACACGAAATTGGTTTAGTTCAAGGAGACGTGTGTAGCAAATGCCGGTCCAGAGACCTCAAAGAGCTGGAGAAAGAGTGCAAAAAGTACCCGGTGATGGTCATCAAAGACGTGCGGGTTTTAGATTTGGCGGTTCTGGTTCCCCTCATGCGAGATCCCGCCATCAACCTCCAGATAGTCCAGTTGTTTCGCGACCCCCGGGCCGTGCATAATTCTCGGATGAAGTCTAAGCTAGCGTTGGTAAAGGAGAGCATACAGGTGCTGAGGAGCAAGAAGCAGAGCGACAAATACAAGCGCCTTCTGGTGCCTAGCAACAGGGTCCATCGAGCCGAGAACTACGTCTCGAGCGCGATGGAGTTAATATGCGATAACTGGCTCAACGACATGTTGCTCGTAATGAACGCTCCGCCGTGGGTGAAGAGAAACTATATGCGGCTGAAATACGAAAACCTGGTCCTCAGACCCGTGGACGAGCTCCAGAGGCTCTACCGTTTCTCCAACCTCACCCTTTCTCCGGCCATGGAGAAGTTTGCGGTGAACATGACCCACGGACGGGGCTATTCGTCGGATAAACCTTTCCTCATATCACCCAGAGATGCCAAAGAGGCTATTTACGCCTGGAGGGAAAGGCTGAATGTGGAGCAGGTAAACCAGGTTGAAGCCTACTGCAGTGAGGTCATGAGACAGCTGGGCTATCAGAAGATGAACATGGACAAGACCTAAAACCACCAAACATGAGTTTATGGTATGTGTACGTTTCTGAATGTCAACACAATGTCAACAAGTGCGACAGGATGTCACCTATACATAGGTTTGGTGCCAGAACTTAGTGTAATAACAGCATTATTGGGCATCATGATGGACGTTTTTGAGACTTATAAACAAAGTATATCCCGTCACACTTTACATTAGCGTTACAGTATTATTACAGATGTACAGAGTGTGTAAAGGGATAGTTCACCCAAAATGGAAACACTGTCATCATTTCCTCGCCCCAGGTTGTTCCAAACCTGTATGAGTTTCTTTCTTCTGTTGAGCACAAAAGATGATATTTCGAAGAATATTGGTAACCAAGTTGATGGTACTAATACTATGGAAGTCAATGGCGACCATAAACATTCTTCAAAATATCTTCTTTTGTGTTCAACAGAAGAAAGATAATCATACAGGTTTGGAACAACCTGAGAGTGAGTAAATGATGACAGTCTTTTCATTTTTGGGTGAACTATCTGGGTGAACTAACTCCAACTGGCAAAGAAACCATGGCAAAACCCATAATAAATAACAGTACTGGTCAAAAGTTGGGGGTCATTAAGTTTATTATTAATTACTTTTATTCAACAAGAAAGAATTAACTTAAAACTGACAGTAAATTTAATAATGTTACAAAATATTTATATTCCTAAACTTTGTTCATCAAAGATCCCTGAAAATATGTATTACAATATCCACAGAAATATTAAGCAGCACAACTATTTTTAACATAAGAATATTATTTATGAATTTTTTAATTTGAATTTGAAAATTCAGCTTTGCCTTCACAGGAATAAATGTCATTTTAGAATATATATTATATAATATATATATAATAGAAAATAGTTATATTTTATAATAAAATAAACAAACACAAAATGAAAGTAAACACTTTGCGGCTTTAGATTTGTGCCGAGTAGAAATTTGTTAGATGGGTTAGTTTTACATTCATCTAGTTAGTATGACGCCTCCATCTGTTACATGAGAAGTGTCAGTCTGAGATTGACTATGCAACACTGCAACTAGTAAATTGATTTTATTGGCAGTGTGCCGTTATGCAGTATATGTGAATGCCACGCACAAACACTGAGTGACAGACAGCCTTATAACAAGACTTAAAGCACAATTTCTGGTGTGAAAGTGAAAGTGAAGTGACATGTGGCCAAGTATGGTGACCCATACTCGGAATTAGTGCTATAATGCTCAACAACCCCTTGGGAAGTGAAAACGTGATCTTTTATAAAGTTATTGATTTCAGTCGGATTCTTGTTTAGCTAAAAACATCGATTCACATGCATAATTTTATTATTTTTACCATTGGGAACCCTTTACAAGGTTCAGTTTATTAACACTAGGTAACACTAGGTAATGCATAATATATCATAAACAAACAAAAGGTTTTACCTAGATTAATGATCATTTATGTTGTTAATTAATGTTTGTATATGTAGAAATGTTAACCAAGAGAAATGCTGTAAATATAGTGTTTGTTGTTATGTTAGCTATTTTTACGAACTAATGTTAACATACAGGACCTTGGATTAAAGTGTACCATTTCAGTCAGTAATTGTTGTAAAAACATTGGTGAGGGCAAAAGTGCAGAATCAGTGCACTATTTTCAGCATTTAATGATCATGAACATTAAAAAGAGACAATAGAAGAGTCGAGCTGAGCGCTGAGCCGGGAGCCAGTGTGAAACCAATGCTGCCAGTGAAGTCATGGGGTTAATACTGTCCTCTTGAACCTTGAACTGTGAAAGTTATATGGTGACTTAATTTTGTCATTTCCAAACAGACCCGGGTCAGCAAAATTACCAGTTTTATTTTTACTGTAGCCGATACAGTGGTTAAAAATGCTGTAAATCAAGCCAGCACAACATAACATAAATATCCTCTCAGCACTGTGAAATACCGTAAAAATATCCGACAGCAGTATGTGTCAAATCAATTAGCCATCATGTTCGAGTCTGATTTCATGTAAACGGTGCTGTATAACAGAGCGATGGATCATGATACAGGCTTCTTTGTTATCACTATCAGAGTCATGTGATGAGGGGGCTGGTGTGACCTAACGGACCGACCACACGTGATGGAAACAGGCTGAAATAGGGACTGCTTTGTGCTGGTTAGTCCCTGGAGGGACCAGTGCTCCCTGAGCTGAGCCTGTCACCAGCTCAATCTGTGAGGGCTGTGCCATGACTAAACCTAGACATGTTGGCACCAGACGTACACAGCTGTCAAGTACAGACCTCTAAGTGTCCCCCAGTACCAGATGAGACCACCTCCAAGACCTAGAGCCCATCACAACCTTATTTTCAAAAATGCTTGGGTGTCACAACAACAAAAAGCTAGTAATACATTTACTATTAATCTAATATTTAATTATATAAATATCAGATTAATTGTTTATAATATTTGAACTTTTATTATTATTGATGTAATGTAAAAAAAAAAAATCAATAATAATGATCTTCAGAGTTAAAACAAAAGAAACACAAAACTAATAATATATTAATAATAATCTAATATTAAATAAAAATCTATATTTTTTATACACATTTTATAACTTATATAATCTATATGTGTGTGTGTGT